CGGGGCCCTCGGAGAGGGCACGAGTGGCAGCGGAGAGGCTGGACGGCGCGAGCCGGGATGGAAACCGGGATGGACACCGCGGACAGCGCGCAGCTCGGAGAGAAGGATGGCGAAAGGGTTTTGGGAAGCAAGGACGGCAGGGCGCTGCACGCACGGTCCTGTCAGCGGTATACTCCAGTCGCGAGTCCTGGCGACAGAGCTCCACTTTCCAGCCGGTGGGCCGCCCACGTCGTCGCACCCTGAAATTTCCAGGGATTGTCACTTGCTCCATAAGTAATTCACGAGCGAGAGGGAAACTACATTTTATTACTACTTGGAGCCAATTTTAAAAGTGTCTTTTGTAAGCTGCTAGGACCTGGGCTGCAAGCACCCTATCGACGCTGCGACGCAACGCCCGCGGGGGTGGGAGCGGGACTGGACGACGTCGTGCGTGTCCCTCCCGCAAGCAGCAATTCTGCATGCCCCGCCCCGCGCAAGCCTCGGAGATGGACTGTCTCCCACTTCCCACTGCGCGGAGGAATCCATTGATTCACAGTGAAGGTGTCATCGAAGACCCAGAATTACAGGCCCCAGGATGGTTTATCATTTATTTAGCAAAAACGAAACAAGGTTTGGGGAAGAACAGTCATTTTGAACACAACCAAGCACGCAGTTTAAAAAAATAAAAGCACTACTTAACCACTATGTAATTTAATTTTTTTAATGAATTCTCTAATTCCACATAAGTATAAAGTCTTCCAAGGTAATTGGTTTGGAGAAACGTTTGTCATTACTACATGGAAGAAAATAAAAATGTGAAAATTCCAATAAGAGGGAAGCAGATCAGCACATCGTAGTAGCCATAATTTGAAAATCTGTGCATGAGAGGCTAGAAAGGAGGGAATGGCAAACATTGCTGTGTAGCGGTCTCTGATTCTGCTCCCAAATAGGACGTATGGAATTTTCCCCCACACCAAGCAACTGACACCAACTGGGTGTCCTACAATTTAACTCAGTTCTGACATTACCTACCTGGAGATGATATTAGATCCCACAGGTGAAACGTTCAGTCCTGTAAGACTGCCCCTCCTTTTCCCCTTCAGATGATAATGGGAAATCCAGGTGTCACCTGTGCTTCCAAGCAACAAGCTGTGGAGTGGAGTTTCCCACGACCCCCTCTTTGGATTTCATGCACTTCCTAGAGGGTCTCACAGAACTTAGGAAACCAGTTTTCTTACCAAATCATCAGCTTATTATAAAGGATATAACTCAGGAACAACCATACAGAAGAGATGCACAGGGCAAGTAAGTGGGAAGAGGCAAGGGTCTTCCATGCCCTATCCCGGTGCATCACTCTCCCTGCATTCACTAACCCTGAAACTCTCCAAGGCTTGGGGTATTTATGGAGACTTCATTTCACAGGCACAATTGATTAAACCATTACCCATTAGTGACTGATTCGGTCTGCAGCTTCTTTCCTCTCCTCCGAGTTAGGTGGGTGGGACTAAAAGTTTCAACCCTCTAATCACCTGGTTGGTTCCCCTGGCAACTAGCCTCCATCCTCCGGGGTTTTTCAAAATCATTAACACAAACTCAGGGATTTATGTTATGAATAACAAGACACCTTTATGGCTCTCATCACAGGAAGTTCTGAGGGTTTTAGGATCTGTGCCAGAAACAGCAGACTGAAGACCAAATATATATTTATTATAAATCACATCACACCTCCCAAGACAAATTTGAAAGAGTCACCTAGAATTTCTCCCTCTACCCTCCCCTCTCCCTTCCAAGCCCTCCTCTGCACCCTCCAGGTGCAAGATTTAGCGAGGTGCTACTTGAGAACAAGGGTTGGGTGGAGAGAGAGCAAGAAAAGTGTACTTGCTCCCTCATCTGCCTCTTCAACCACCCAGAAAATTAACCTACTTGAAGGTCAGAGGCCAAATTGGAGTAGGTGAAGGTTGAGATTGTTGCTCAGTATTACATTTCATAAACACCAACAAAACAATAGGACACTCGCTGGTCTCTGGGTGTCTCGGTGTTAGGGAGATAGACATGAGAGACAAAGGACACTCCATTGTAGTTAGAGAATCCCTCCTGCATCACAGGAAGCAAAGGACAGGAGGCCATAACCTATAGCTGGTTTAATCCAGCCACAGATGCTTGCACAGGAGGTACTACGCTAACCTGACCACAATCCCAGCCTCGCTATACCATCATTATAATACCATATTTATACCCGGAAGTACATAAATCTAATTATAGCAGACTGAATTCTGGGTAAGCACATGCCCACTAGGCAAAGTGTTATATAGCACCAAGTGTCAATCAAAATGACTTCACGTGCCAATCACTTAGGAATGCCTTTGTAACCACTCATCATGGCCCAAATATAATACAGACCTTCTCATTTCTGGGTTGTTAGGGCTCTCTTCCCTGAAAACCCGCCCTCCCTTGGGACATACTCTATCTTTTATTTCTTTTATCTTTTTTATATCTTCTATCTTTTATCCCAAATTACAAAGGGCTGCAGCCTTCCTTAGCTTGGCCCATCTCCTTCTAAAATATACCTTTAATAAATCTTTTTCTAAATCTTCCTGACCTATGATTTATTGCTGCATCAGCAGGGAAGAACCAAGGAAAAATACTAATTGCACTTCTGCATCATTACACACACACACACACACACACACACACACACACACACACACACAAGCAACTGGGGCAACACCAAGGTTCAAATTGTCCCCAAATGGTAACACTGGTGTTTGAATTCCTGTTGCAAGTGTTACCACACCCAGATTTTGCTTATAACTTTTCCTTTGATTCAAGCTGATTTTGTCTAAATAATAGCATTGTGACTCACTTGCTCTTTTTTCTACCCTTATCTTTCCACCTTTGGATGCCTACTCTTTTAACCATTAAGCCTTGGGATATAAGGTTCCAGCTAGTGTCAAATCTTTGAAGAGTAAATCTTCAGGTCTATGATCAGGATGCCAATAATTTTTGGTTAAACTAAAAGGATAATATCTTGGCTTTAGGTGTGTTTCAGCCCCAGACTCATCAAGGCAGAATAGCCCCCCTGACCACAGGACCAGATAGGATGATGCCATAGGTGATTCCAGAACAAGACATGATGATCGATCACCCCAGCCCCATCCAATCAGTAGTAATGTAGGGAGGAGGCAAGAGAATTAAAAATGTTAATCAAGCACATTCAGAGACTGCAACATGCTGATCAGCCCTGCAGCCAGTCCAGGAGGACACCTTCAGAACAAAGGAAGATTTCTACTGAATTACTAACAACTCATTCACCACATCTGTGAAGGGGAAACAGGAACCAAGAGACATTCTCTATGGCTAAAACTATGGGGAACCTATGGCTTAAAAGCTAGGAATTGCCAGCAGGCCTTTCACTCTATATTTTTACCTTTTCATGCTACATATTCTTTCCCTTCCTCACTGTATGTCCATATCAAAAGAAATGGGACCTAAAAAATGACATAGAAGCTGAATGCCCTGAACACCCAGGGTCCCTCTCAGTGCCTTCCATCTGTCTCTCTCTGTCCCTCTCACTCTCTGCCTCTGAGAGAAGACCACACTCTGTCTGTGGAGTGTTACCTCTTTTCGAATAAACTTTATTTTTGACTAACTTTGGCATGTGTGTTGAATTCTTTCTTCACTCTCCGCCAAAGGACCCTCTTCTCTCAATGCAGGGCTTGGTCTCCCCCGACTAGCTTGGGGAAATTTGCCCTGTCCTGCATCAGTAGTACCTACAACCCAAACTCCCTTAGTTTCCATGACTAATGATTTTCTCTGTATAATCTTGCTGCTGGACACCCAGGGAGCAATGTTTTTGAGAGCAATAGTGTTGCAGAAAAATCAGACCAGTGAGAAACCAAGCATCATTCGGAGAGTTGGAGACCTCAGCTTTATTACATCGGCAGTCCCAGAAGAGCTAGCGCTCTGAAGATCTGGGCCTCAAGCTCAGGGGTAACCTTACTTTTATAGGGCTTAACAAGCAAAGGCAATACATCTGTTATCTAAACAGAACAAGCAAAGGGGAGGGTGAGACTTCAGTTGATCTCGAGTTCAACCTGCCCTTTGGCCTATGCGGCAAGCATGTCTACAGAAACAGAACAAAGAGCTGATTACGAGGTTAGCCATTTGAGTGGAAAATTCCTCCTCAATAGCTTCCCTATGTCTCAGGGACTTGCAACTCTCTAAAATAAACCTTACTTGCTTTGCGCAAAACCTGTATGCATCTCATTCACTTAGACATGGATAGGAAGATGGACCCCATTGACCAAGGAACACACTGACACCCAAGAACTAAATAAGTGAATACCTCACCTCAAAAATAGAGAACTCCCAATTTTTCCAGGTTGTGAACCATCTTCCTTTTTCTCAAGATTCTATTGTAAGTGGATTAATATAAAATATTTGGGGATTAAATTTGCAACCATGAAAAAATCTATTTTCTATGAAGGTAAAAAAAAGTCATTTTTTTTAAAGCAATAAAAATATAGAGCACTAGAACAGAAGTAGAGGATTTCGAGTACTATGAGTACATACCACCCCCAAAATCTGTAACTTTGGCAGGAAGATTATTTTGAGCTGGAGGCAAATGACAATCAACAGATGTGGAAAGAGGTTTTCCCAGAGCTTCCCTCATCTGACTAAAAG